CAAAGGGAGAGTACTACTTACGTCACAGTATTCACGGCAGTAAAACTCTTACACAAGTGACCAAGATCCTTCACTTACCTCATTGAAACACCAACAGCAGAAACCACAGACACTGGTAGAAGTCTGCCTACCTAAAAATTCAAAAACTGTCAAAAGCAATAAAAGCTGAAAATATCTGGAGAGAAATACATAATCTAATTAAAATCAATATCCTGAATATGTAAATTAAAAATTATCTCCCTTTAGCTTGCATGAATCATCTGTATGTTTACTGCTCAGCATCACCTTCCTCCTCCATTAATGCTTCCTTGTAGTATATATAACTCATTCTCTATGATTTAGGTAAAAACAACTTTCTCTGTATCTGCCAAGATGGGCTTCTTCAAACTGCATCTAGAATAATGGTAAAATAACCCATGCACTAAAAATAAACACCAGGAACATCGTTTTCCACCTATCAAATTCAGTGTTTTCATTTTCCATTTTCCAAACAATACCCAGGAATGAAGGAAACATACTCTGAAAACTTAAGATCTTAATTTTCTCTAGCAACTTGACAATAAAAGCCTGTGAAACACATTTCTCAGCTTCCAGTGACTCAGGATCAGCAAGGCACAGCATCACTACTAGAAAAGCCTTGTTTGGTAACTCTGGATTCCACCCAGCATAAAGCACAGCATCTCCTGTGAAGGATTCTTGTGAAATATAATCAAGCTTCTAGACCTAACTAGTCTATAGGAGATAAAGGAATGAATTAAGGGGATGCTTTGGGGAAACAAATCCAGGAAGTGGGACATCACACTAAAAAGGGAGAGGCAAGGACTGTTTTCAGACTAAAGAGACATGATAACCAAATGTAATACACAAAACATGGCTGGATCCATGTTCAAAAATTAAGCTACAAGTCACTTTGAGGGCAACTGGAGAAATTTGAATATGAATCTATAAGAGAGAGGGCAACTGGAGAAATTTGAATATGAATCTATAAGAGATTGAAAAGTTTTTCTTATGCTGTAATGACACAGTGGTTATACTGGAAAGTGTTCAAACAAATATATGCTGAATTTTTTAAGGGGAGAAATAATGTCTTCAGTTTATTCAGCACCAATATACATAGTTACATTAAAAATCAAGGTAAATATTGTTAAATCTAGGTGGCGGTATAGATGTAAACATTATATTATTACTTATTCTGCTTTTCTGTATATGCTGGAAATTTTTCAAAATAAAGTGTGGAGAAAATGTATCTTTTCACCCCACAACCCACTTCTAGGAGTTTATTCCAAGGAAATAGTTTGAAATTTGACCAAATTTGAGGGCCAGGGAACATTCTTTATAATAGCCTTAGAATAGAAATAATCTCAGTCCTAACCATGTGGCTGGTTAAATAAATTGGTATGACCATACCCAGACAACTTTTATTCACATTTACAGTTCCCTAAGACATTACATGGAAAGTTTTTGTGAAAAGTGTCATCTAGCAGAGATTAATGGCCCATACTGAAGTACGATTTCTTTAGGGTGGGTAAAGGGAGGGAAAAAAACAGATAGACTTTAGATTCAATACCAACATTCTACAAACCTGTTTACCCAACAATTTGAAAAGAGGCAAACTTGGTTACTGATGTACCTGGCCCCTGATGTCAGGATAAGCCCCAGTGGGTTAATTTGTATGTGCTTATGCTTTTGAGAATAAACTCAACAGAAGATTAAGCTACCTTCTGACCACATATACATCCTCCCAAAAAGCAATAAGTACTGTGAAGGAGAGAGCACACTATTCCCTGTGAAACACTCTGGCCACAGACGCAATATCATATAGCAATTTTAAGAATTACCTTATTCAGGCAAAGTAGTAAAAGCAAGGATTCAACTCCAATGATTTCTCTAAATTTTTATTAATTTTTTCAACAGCTCGATCCTCTTGTGAAAAGGAAAGAATTTAAAGAACAGATCAATTACATTTTTTTTTTAAAACAGCACTTAATCCTCATTACAGAGAACAGCAAACAAAAGATCTGTGGCACATTATCTTTGGAAAGATCTTTTGCAAATTTTTCTTCTAAAAAAAACTATAATTCTCTCAGAGATCACATATGTCTCTTTCAAAGGACTATACAAGGCATCTAACTTTTATTCACAAAAGCCCCAAGTTGCAGTTCCATTGCTGAAGTAGATAAAATATGTGGAGTTCCCCTTATTTGTGTTGCACATCTTCCCATTGAGAGCATCGCTGCTTTTCTATCCTACATACAAAGTCATTGTGTTGACAAGAGCTGGCACATTATTCCACAGAAATTAAAGAAAAACTTATTACTTTAAAGATAGCCCAGTGATTTTCATTTATCAACTGGAAAAATTATTCATTTAAACAATTTAACACCAAGATTCGACTTTTCTAAAGTTATAAGAAAGCAAAAATATATAATATAATATAATATATAATGGTAATAAATAAAAAAAAAGCAACCCTGCTCAGATAACATCCAAACATGATCACATTCAGGAAAAAAAAAATTTTTTTTAAACAAGATTTGGGACACACACACACACACACACACACACACACACCCCAACATGAACAGTGTATACTTGATGTCTGAAAGGAGGATGTGCAGTGAGCTTAACAATACATGTCATGGCCTGAACAGAAGGCAAACTTAATACTGCCTGTGAGGAGTATTGCTTAAATACCTACTTTTAAGCAAAGCAAGTCATCTCCTTTAGGTTGGCCACTACCTGGTTGGACAGTGCAGCTTGGCCAGCCTTGATGTCAGTGGTCTTATTCCCTTGTCCTCCCAGGCCTATATATTTCCATATAGGCTTATGAGGAGCTGCAGGGTTTCCTTCCTGCCCTCTGAGACATCCTCTTAGGTAGAAGTAAGGGCACATCTACTCAGCATGGTACCTAATGATGTCTGACTCACAGTGACAGGATAAAGTGTGATTTCCCTCAAAACAATAAGAAACATACAGTCACCTCAAGAAAAGTAGTAGATGGTGCTGATCAACGCATCATAAATAAGAACTAAAGAACATGACTAGTGCTCACAATTCACAAAGAGATGTGCATCCTCAGCCACCAAGAAACCAACATAACTGGGTTGTGGACTGGAGGACTGACTACACGGCAGAAATACCACTTGTAATGTGTGAAGGAAGACCCTCAGCACCATGCTATTCTGCCACTATACTTCTCCCCATGAAAACAAATAATAAAGGCACAGAAAAAAAAATACCTTACACCCATTATTTCCCAGTGGGAAAAAACCAGAAGAGGCAATCCACAAGAGAAGGGGTGGGGGCAAGCACCACCATAATCAATCCTGGCCATCTCTTCACAGCTGCAATGTGTACTCACTTTTCAGTAAGAAAATCTACACTTCTGTGTTTCTACCAGAAGCCCAAAATAGTCTTGGAAAATTTAAATCCTGCTACTCAGTGGGAAAGAGTGTGTCAGAAGAAATGATAAAAAATTTTCAAAGGTATTTTGTAGTGTCAGGGAAAAGAAATCATTAAGAAAAAAAAAAAGAATTTGGTAGAAGGCATGGAAGAATTTAAAAGTATGCTAAATAAAACCAACTCATTTATCTTAATATGCACAAATAAACTTCAAACTTCATAAAGCAGAAGATAGATATAAGACGACCCATGTAACATACCTTAAAGCTGTGGCAAAACATTATTTCAAAATTAGGTTTGGTCAACAAGGGCACAACAAATATATACAACTGAATCAGCTCTTGTTCTCTATTTGTGTACAGATTACATATTCTTTTGCACATCAGAGATAGCAGTTGTAGAGAACACAGTGGTTTTCTTTTTGCTTTAAAAAGTGGATCAAGACTAACCTCCTGCTCCTACTAACATTAATATGTAAGGTACCAGGTAAGGCAAGTTTTCAGCTAGAAAGGGAGAGTAGATTAGCTTCTAAACATCCCAAGATCTAGAACTAAAGAGTAAAGAATAAAGGAGGTAAATGTCCAATTTGTCTAAAGGAAGTAACTATACATTTTGGCTAAAACAATCTTTAAAAAAAGATCTTTTTGTTTAAAAAATCAGTTGCTTTTCTCATTTAATATTGTGATCAAATCATGATATCAAACAAATTATCCTATTGTAGTTTATTCCTGATTACTGCATGCTGAACCCTCTCATACTGTACCACTGCTACCATGTCATCTGTATATTCATAATCTTAACCCCAAGTATAATCTGGTAGATTTCGGAAAAGTCTTTTTCATTATTTAATAGGGCTCCAAGGTTCGTTGATTCACATTTTCACTATCTTCAGAAGGGTAGAAACATTCAACAATTCGTTTAAAATAAAACAGTATTCTCCCACATTCTTATTCATTCTCTCTCTCTCTCTCTCTCTCTCTCTCTCACACACACACACACACACACACACACACACACACACACACACCTGTAGTGGCAAAGGCAAGATTTACTCTGTTTTCATTAAGATTAATTTTTTCTATTTTTCTCACTGTGAAGTGTGCACTATCACTGTTGCCATGAGAACTTCACATATACAAAGGCTTAATTTTATAATCTAATCCTCTTGAAAGATCTACCTCAGTACAAATTTTTGCCTTTGGGAATTATAAGCATGCAGTGAAAAAGTGCAAATGGTTTAAAAATCCTTCAGATTTCTATATACAACTGTAACAGCAAAAAGGGCTTATGAACATTAAGGACTCATCAGACACTACCTTTTACTTACTCTATTAAAAAGGTAGTCATCAGGAATTCTCTGTTAGGTACAAGGACTGTTGCAGTAAGAATCAGAAATATCCAATGATCAAAGTAGTACAAATTGATCTATCCAGATTCATTATTTTTTTTCAAGGGACAAATAAAATTTTAATATAGATTTCAGGGAGGAAAAAAACCCACAAAGAATAAGGCCACTGAAAAAGCAATCTGTTACACTTGGCTGAGAAATCCACTTGGGAATGTTTTCAGTCAAGGGAGCATGGTGGCTTGCCCACATGCTCTGGTACAACCCGCATAGATCAGAACCTGTCATAAAGAACAGAACCCTTCACCATTGACAGGTGGCTTGACACAGCAGATGGGGAAGGGGAGTTAAGACAGAAGGATTTTAAGTGATCTTGCTGATTCTAGTGCCTTGTCCCCTCCATACAAGGAGGAAACACAATGCCAGGCCTTACAACCTACCAGGCAATTATTGTCCATATAACAACAGGCTCTCTAGTAGTTTAAAAAAACAATAGCTTTGCTTCAGAACATCAGTAAAGGAAACTGCTTCGTCAGGATCACACATCACACATCAAGGTTTAACGCTCAGATATTAACTCCACTGTCATTCTCTGGCTTTAACCTAGTTAGCAATCAAAGAACAGGCTGGAGGAGAGACCAGGGGGCAGCTTCACACAATTTTAAACTGAAAAGTCAGCATGGCTCCAGCATCTACACATCCCTTTACATGTTTATGAAACCAGAAAGTCCTAGTATTCATCAGAGAGACCTTGGGCGTCTTCACTATAAATAAAAATGGTTCTCCCTTCACTAATAAATACAAAAAACATGAAACGTGCTTGGTAGGGAACAATGTGTAGAGGTGCAGAACAGGGTAACAGGGGAGAAAAGGAAACCAATTAGTTGCACAGATGAAGCTCACTCCTCAATTTTAACACATGAGCAAATTCTACTTTCTAAAAGGGATAAAAAAGAACTGGTTTTTAAAAACACTGCACTCAAAAGAGTATTTCCAATAACAACCTTCAAAATTTCAAAAAGCAATCTGTGCTTGTGGGCATGTGGGAATTCTGATTGTGTTCTTTCATTTTAGGCCATTCAAAACGAACCTGGTTTAATGCAGACAGTATGACATTAACTTAGAGGAAGGCCACAGTTCCCTCTTCAACCTATTCAAATCTAGTTGTCTGAGAACACTCTGGAGTGAAGGCATGTGGTGACAATTTTTTTAGAAATCTACTTAATCCCCACATCTCCACATTCTCTCAGGGAGTCAATTTCCCCTAGGCAATCAAGGGCTCACAAAGTTTAGTTTTGCTATAAATATAAAATAATTTGTAGCAGAAAAATATAGCCTCTCTACGAAGTAGATATCATTTTTCTTCACTGACAAAACTGAATTGATTAGACATGAGTTACCACATAGCTGTAGACCACCGATCAGCACCTCAAATTCCATCTCTACTTAAAACAAGAATCAAAAAGCACGTTAGCCATCTGGTCAGGTATAAATGTTGTTCCCTTCTTCCCCAAGTTAGGAAATACAGAATTTGATCAATGGAGACCACCTTGTTAGCTAGAACCCTTCAAGGAAACAAGAGTGGGGATGGCAGCGCCAAGTCCTCCAGGAGTCAGCCTCAAGTGACTCTCGAGGTGGCTCCCATGCGCACTTGTTCTTCCTCCGTTGCGTGACGTGGATCGTGGGTTCATTTCAGCACAGTCAGGAATCTGAGCTGGGGTGAACGCGCAGTACACAGGGCAATGGGAGGGGGTTGCCTTCAGTTTCATACACTATGACAATACTTGGTATTATCAAAGTCACTGTTCACTGGCAGAAAGTGGGGTACAGTGGAGTCCTTCACAACTTACATTTTACAGATGGCCATTAGAATCTGTTAAACAAGTTTCCCTCAGAACTTAAATTTTTTTAAAACAAATCATCCACAAAACCCTTCACCAAAAATCAATGTTTAAAAAAATTTTCTTCTGTGAATGGACTTAGTATGGTTACTGAGATGATGTGAATTTGCTTTCAGAATTGACATTGTTCCTCATTTCACTTGCAGCTTACATCCATCCTACTGGTTAAAAAACAAAAACAAAAGACCACAGAAATGTTTCTAGACCATTCACATGCCCATTAGGCTACATTGCACTTTTATCCTGTAGTTAGGAAAGGCAAGATCATCTCTGGGGCTGACCTCCATCTCTGCTTCTGTGTAACCATAGTGTCCACCCAATGATAACACGACTCTTGAGAGTTTATGTGGACAAACCTCCTGGCCATCTTATGCTGCTTCTCTTCTTGAGTTTGATATCCTGATGAGACAAATGTCGAGACTGTTTTTTACGCTTCCAATGTGCAAAAAAAAAAAAAAAAAAAAAAAAAGTCCCCAAGGCATGGAGTCAACTTGGGTTTCCATTAAGGTGTTTTGGTTACTTGTTTGAGCCGCTGAAAACCCTGTCTTATATAGTGCACCAGGTCCACCAGACTGCTGTTGAGGGCCAAGGTGCATACTTTTGTGCTGAGTTGAGCAAAGAATTCTGGAAAAAGAAAAACAAAAAGCCCCAAACTAGTAAATACACATGCGCACACACAAATTAAAATAGAAATACAAAAAGTCAAGGTTCAGAAGCTATGTCCCTACAATACCCTGCATTTCATCTCAAAAAAAAAAAAAAAAAAAAAAAAGGAATCATAATCTGTAATCACCTGCTAACTCTCCACACCCCTCCTCTAGACTAGAAGGCCACGAACCAGGTTTGCTTTAGAGTTGGATGCATAACACCTGCCTAGGGTAGTGACTGGAAGTTTGAAAATAGCCATTTTATACATTTCATCAATGGATGCATGGATGCAAAAACAAAAACAACCCCAACCACCTTAAAAGTATCATTATTTTACTAAGACAGATAAAGCTCTAAGAGGCTGTGGGGAAAAGTAGAGATTACAGCCAGCTGGCTGCCTTCTACTCTCTAGCCGGGGAGATAGAAGTCACAGCCATGTTCTGGCGCTCGCTGCTGTATGCATTTACTTAGTGGTAGCTGGCCTGATGCCAACCAGTTCCTCTACCTACAGGTCCTACTGCTCCTGAACCCTGGATTACTCCTAGGGCCTTCTTCCCCAAACAAGTCATAAGACCGTTTACTATGCTATATTTCTCTTGTTGTAGCTGACCGTTTTTCTTAACGTCTACTGAAAACAAACTCAGCACTGGGATTGTGCTACTTCCCGTCTTAAATGGGTTGAGGCTAGGAACAGCTGTGACTTTCTTTATTTGCTTTGCCCTTTTGCTAGCATTTTGGTTCAGACTGAAATGATGACAGCAGAGCTTGTGAAGGGGCAAGGTGCTAAAACCACTGCTAATTTGGTTTTGCTAATCTAGCTACAGAAATCCAGCTCTAAGCCACAAAGTTTCAGGGAGAATTACAAGTAGGTAACAAGGCAAAATGGAGAAAATGAAAAGGGAAACAGCTACACGTGTCCTTCTTTCCTTTAAGAAACCGAACATAGAATACAAACCAACACCATTTCCTCCCAACCTCCATGCCCCCACTAATCACCACCCCAGAAACCTTTACCTTTATTCTTCCTTGCAAGGACTTCAGCCTGTTCCCAAAGATCAAAGGCGGTAAGGACGTGGGACGTGATGGTGACATAGGAAGAGGTCATGTTCTGGATGGTGACTGGAGTACTGATTGTGGCAGTCATTCCACTGCTCCCCATACTGCCAGCACTTGACTGGGACCCTGCAGAGCTGGCAGGAGAAGGCATTGGGGACAGAGGGGATGGTGTGCCTGTGCTTCTGGAAGGTTAGAGAAAGACATGGTTAAAGCCTGCCAGATTGCAGGTTTCCTACCTCGAAGACTGCAATCTACATCACCAAGTTTCAGTGTGCATCCACCAAAAAAATAACTATAGCTAAAGTGACTCCTATACAGTTGAAGAAGACCTAGGCACACTAACTGTATTCCAAATATGCTTTCCCATGCCCTTGAACAGTCTACCTCCTCTTCCACGGAGGAATCCCTTCTTCTTACCATGTCTAGTTCCAACTTATGCTAGGAAGACCCCACATATATATATATACATACACACACACATCATCATCATCATCATCATCATCATCATTTCATCCCCTCAGGAAACACTAAACTGAGCACCTACTCTGTATCTGATACTCTTTTAGTCACTGTAGATACAACAAGGCCGCCTTCCTGACACAACTTTGAACTTATCTTTTGTTTTGCATTCATTTGGGTCACAGCACCATGGAGGCAGAGATCATGTCTTATTAATCTTTCCACAGCTAGCACTTAACGCAGTAAATGGCTTTTGGGGGGAGGGGTAAGGGATTAGGGAGGCTGATTACTAGGGATTGAACGCAGGGGCACTTAACCACTGAGCCACATCCCCAGCCCTTTTTATTTTTGAGACAAGGTCTCACTAGGTTGGCTTTGAACCTGTGATCCTGCCTCAGCCTCCCAAGTTGCTGGGATGCACCCCAGTGCCTGGCAAGTAAGTGCTAAGAGTAGAATCCCACAGAATCAACAAATGAACTGCTGTGGGTAGACTGCAGGAAAATGGGCGGGGAGTGTCACACACTGGGAAACTGAACCTTACTGTTTTTTCTGCCCTTGGCTAAATATCTGGTCATGCCAGTTAACATGTGCTTCAACGTGGAGCAAATGAGAAAAGACCAGGGAAGTCACTCAGACATAAAAAGTAAATGGATACAGGATGGAAGGTGGGGTCAGCAGCAGCAGTTTCACGCTGTGACATCTGCCCTGTGGGCTGCACGATCCTGAGCATGCCTGGCAGAACACACACTTTCAAAGACTGGAGAGAGAGCTTCCTGAGGCAGCAACTCTTGTCTGCTTTGTTTACTGCTGTTTCGACAGCAGCTATAGGGGTTAGGTGGTCTGGCTGGGCAGATGGCCACAGGAATTATCTAAAATAATGTGACTGACAACCTATTAGCTTAGAATATCTCAGAGTGGGAGTTGTGAAGCTTTCATAAATAAGAAATTGCTTCTCAACCAGGACTTCCTCTTTTTTAAGAGAGGCCATATGGGAGTCTCTTCTTTAGAATTTCTGGAAATCGGGCAGTCTTCTAAGTGATGCTCTTAAAATAGCAAAACCTATCAGAACTAGGAACTTCCCAAGGAATATGACCAAATTTTTTTAAAAAAGAAAATACTAGACAAGGACTACAGGGCAGAACAACCCACCTTCATCTTATAAACACAAGTGAACACGATTCTCTTTTTCAATGTTTTACAGCAGATAAACAATTGCAGTTCACAAAGTGGGAGAAATAATTTTGCTAGACATAATTGCTTCATTGGTATTACTGGTGTGGGTCCTGAAGACAGTGGAAGGTATATGGTTCTGGAAAGTTCTTGTTTATTGAAATGTCAAGAAGATACATCACAGAAGGAGAAAGCACATTGGCTCTGGTTCTGCCCCTCATGGTTTTGTGTTCTTAGGCATATCTAAGATCCTCAAAGCTCTAAAATTTAGACTCTATGTTCTTTGCAATTATTCTAACCCCCTCTTATCTACCGTTTTGCTTCCCACAGAAGTTAACTGCAGTCAACCATGGGCTTGCTTAGACTCCAATGAGAGACCACATTCACATAGCTTCTATTTACAATGTATTGTTATAATTGTTCTATTATTAGTTAATATTGTTAATCCTTTGTTGTTGCCATGCTAGGGATCAAACCCAGGGCCTAGCACATACTAGGCAAATGCTCTACCACTGAGCCACACTCCCAGACCTTACTGCTAATCTCTTACTGTGCCTGATTTACAAATTAAACTTTTATAGATATGTATAAGAAAAAGCATAGTATATATAGAGTGTTTGTTACTAATCTGCAGTTTCATGCATCCACTGGGGATCTTGAAATGTATCAACCATGGACAAGAGGGAACTACTGTACCTTTTATGTTAACCAATCTGCCTCAATATTGATTTATAAATAATTCTCAAACGGCAGAAATATGCTAATAATTTACCTTTAAGGAGCAAATCAGCACAGAGATGAAGCATTCAATTTTGAAAAGCCAAAGAGGGGGAGAGGGAGACAGTTGCAAAAGAGGTAAATTAAGAATGACTTAATTTTGTAAATTATTGAAATTAGATTTATAATTACCTTGCAATGCATGGAGAAGGGGCCTGGGCCACTTTGGAAGAACTCTTGAAGTGTTCATTAAGAGTACGGGAATACTTTATTGCTACGTCTTTTTTACAACGAAACATTGCCATGTTCAAAAGGGACTGGCAACGCATGCTGTGAACAAGAACAGAAGTTAAAGTGACATGTGCATCACCTTGTGGACAGGACTAGCTCTACCACAGAAAAACAACCGTTGTACCTTCAAGTCTCATGAGCACACTGGGTATGCTCCTGTCTGTATACCTCAAGAATCTACACTGTTCAGACTATTGCCAAAAGTCAATATTGGCATAAAGACATAGATGTGCAAAGATACAGCTTAAACCACAAGACCAAAGCATTTACCAAGTCTTCAGTAAAACAGCATTAGGTGCCATTTCCCAGTAATCATCAGTGGGATTAACCCCAACCAAGTACTCACTAGCATTAGGTTAAGGAATCAAATTTCAAAATGTTTTAACATCAAAAGAAACAAAAACACATTTAGTGCTATTTAACAAAGAAAAAAAATACACACCATAAAACAGCAAATATTTTCTCTTGTGTTGGTGCTGTGGCATCTGAGAATGATTTTAATGACATTGTGAATCTATAGGGAGACAAAACCATATACTAGGTTAAACAAAGACAGTATGAAAATCCCAGGCACAGATGCATCTTGGAACTGTATTTTAGTGCTCTTTGTATTGACTTTTCCTGAAGATATGAAATCATGACAGCCACACAGGAACAGTGAGCAACAATGCAGGCCATTCAGAAAACCAGGACCTATGGCTGAAACCAAGTGCAGTTGTGCCCTCACTGAGCCCCCTGTTGAAATGCAGGTAAATACACACCTGAGCCCAGAGGGCATCTGATAAGAAAGCTAAACTGGAAAAACCACCCCGTCCCTGCAAGGTGTAGCATTTCTCAGTGCACTTGGCAAAGTGATATGGCTAGATTCAGTAATTCTGTGCTAGCACTTCAGTTAGAACACAATTTAATTCAGTTCTTGGACCAATACCTTCTTATTGTTTTACCTTTTGGCAGTGCTGGGATGGAGCCCAGGGCCTCGCATGCCAAACAAGTGCTCTAAACTGAGCTGCAGCCCCAGCTCCCATGACCTGAAGGCTCCCCTGTACTGTAGCTGTATTCACGCTAAGGTTGAAAGATTAAAGCAATAAAGGTGAGGAAAGAGAAGTACTTGAGAGAACAGCAAAGTGACTTGGCACTTACTTAATGAGATCTACAGTTTCTGAGTACACTGAATAAGCGGACTTGGAGGCCGGACTCTCAGACTCCATGGCAATCCCACACTCGATAAAGGACAGGATGGCTTCCAAGTACTTGAAGGCCTTTCCAACCTTGTCCGTCTGTAGAAGAACACAGCCACTGTTAGGCCCGAGACAGGCTTTATTTAGTTCCTTTCCCACATTCTTTAACTTTCCTCCACTGTCTTGGTTTAATCATGAGAAAAAAAAAAAGTATGAAAATAAACCAACTAAAAGTGATAAATAACTAAAGCCTGTCAGCTCTAACCAACCAAAAAATTTCTTTTTTTATTTTTTTGAAAAATTCATTAGAAATAAGAAAACAAATCTGTATTAAGACTATTCTCTCACAACCTTCTGGAAGCACACAAACCAAGACTCCTTGTTATTAACACAAAATTATTCATTACATAACTTTCTTGAGAAATAGGTTATTCTACACATCTAAAGTAAGGCAGACACAAGTTTCTTTGGTAGATGTTGAGGTTTATCTGAAGTAGAATACATTTATCATAGATTAGGAGTATTTTAGACATAATCCCTAATAATAATCTTCAAGCATTTTAAAGCCCAACAGATTAATCTCTTTTGGCACCTAGATTTAGTACAAGGCATCAGGGACATTTAGTACTGAGATAATAGGGACAAAATTTCAAAGTTCCTTTGAGGGATTAGAGAAATTAGAAATATAAAGGAAATCAGATACTTGTGGCCGCCTTAAAAGTAAATATATATTTTGTCACTTAAAGCTCTTCTCACTGAGTGGCATACAGCCAATTCAACTAATGACACTGGGATAAGCAACTCACTTTTTCTCTACCTGTGGCATGCGCACCACACACTGAGAGCAGCTGACTAACAATTGCAAGTCTGTAGTTTTCCCTAATGCTCTCAATTTGATATGTTAAAAAAGAATTAAAATAGCAATACATGAGGGCAGTGACCTATCAGGTAGCTTAGGACTGTTATTTAATTTACAGGCTGCTGCTACACGCCACAGGCAGGAGCAGGAACAGCTCTTTCCCTTAGTGCACTGCTGTGTGCTTCCCTCAGGGCACATACTGTTCTGTGTCTAACCTCCGTGGAACAAATGGAGTTGCTACACAGACATGCATATGAAACACGACTTCATGTGACAGATGCGTAGACGTTTATATGCAGACATATACTTCAGAACACTCAATCTTAGTGCTCTAAAAATTTTAACTTTTAAAAATAACTTAGCTTCAAAATTTCTTTCCTAGAGAGCCAAGGCTCAGAAGATAAGTGACAAAAAAAAAAAAAAGAATAGAAGTCAAATTAGTATGCCTCAAAGAGAAGAATAGGACACATTCATTTGCTTCACTGATGGGAATCTAATTCTCAAAATTATCTTATGTAAAACCATCTATTTCATGGAATTTCCGAAATTAATATTAGCCTTAGGGCAGAAGCAAACGAAACTATCAGCTAACAAGCTGATTAGGGAATATCCACTTCCTCAAGTACTTTGCAAGGCTAAGAAGCATTATCCCTGTGATCACTCTCCCCAAACAGGGCTACAGCAGTGCAGCTCTGATTTCCCTACTCAACAAGTGCACGTAAAGATGAAATACGCTCCCCTGCACTTGGCTGAGCACTTCTTAGCTCTCTGGATGCCAAGTGCACATCTTTGAGATATTATGCCATTAAGACAGAATATTATGAAAAAGGTGACCAGACAGGTTATTGTCCAAACTGGCAGACTTTGAGAGCAAAATGGGTATAATTACTGCAATGGAATACACAAGACATAAAGCAGGACTGTCCTGGCACACTGGGTTGTATGGCTGCCTTATGCAGAGAGAAGATATACCTATGTATAGATTCAAGCAAATACCTGGAATACTGTTTGAATGAGGGAATCCAGTGTGGAACATGTCCAATGTCAAGATAGGTTTCAGATAACTAGATAATAGTGCTAAATATTTACTCTTTTACAAAACTCACAAGAGTCATACAGTTCCAGTAAGGAGGCAGCTGAAAGAGCACCATTGTGTGGTGCAGCCATGGTCTGAATCAAGTCATCCTGACACAGGGTGATGTAGGATAGGGACAGAGCATCTTGTCCTGGGCTCCCTCATGGCATCCAACATGGGACCCTTTAGCAATGGGACCTGTAAAAGGTCTCAGTTGTTTCCCCTCTAGAGAGCAGGAGAATGGATGCCCATCTGCAGCCTAGGGTGAGAGCACCAAGCCAAGGTCTGAATGACTCCTGCAGAGTGGCCAGATTTAGGTCCCTGTGAACCCTGCCACATGCAGTTGGGTTTAGGTTTGGGGGACATGCTCAATAAATAAAAGCCATACTTTTTTAGGTGTTTAAATATGACAAAGGGCAAACATGATCTCATTATATTGCAGTAAAGATGTAAAAGCATACTTAGTTACATATATCATTAACAGCAAACCACCACCTTCCAGAAAATCCATAGGCCAATTAGTAAAGAGAGTTCACATCTTCAAGCATGTTTACCAACAGTACAATCATCACCTTTATCTCAAATTTTCATCTACTGGCTTTGGTCAACTATTCCTTCAGGTCAGTCTTGCAGGGATTTTAGGTAATTTTGGAATGTAAACACGCTTCCTCACCTTGTCAACTGTCAGGGTGGGCACAAATTGACTGATTTTCAAAAGCCGAACTCATTTTTCACATCCAAAGAATTGACTCAATGGGACAAAAAAACTCACTCATATATTAAATCACCACCAAGCAGATCAACTTTCACTCATTTAGACAGACTACTTATGACTAAGTATGTGTAAATTGGCCCATGATCATACTGAATCAACAGAACCAAAGAAAATAATCCCACTGAAACTCCTTATCCTTTGGTCATTAAAATCCTGGTTCTTCTGATTGTATTACGACCAATAGCAAGACCATATACTTCTTTCTCCTGGTGACTCCCACCCCAAAATGCCCCATGCACATGTTTAATGATGGAGAATGTAGTAGAAGAGAGACCATAAACACTATAGCATCCCCCACCCGATTCCGGTTCTGGGGATTGAACTTGGGTTCTCTACCACTGAACATGCATCCCCACCTCTTAACATTTTTTGAGACAGGATCTCACCAAGTTGCCCAGGATGGCCTAGAACTTGCAACCCTCTTGCCTTAGTCTCCTAATTAGCTGGAATTAAAGCCCACCATGCCTGGCTTCATTTCTTTTTCTTCTTCTTCTTCTTTCTTCTTTTTTTTTTTTTAATAATTAAAAAAACCATTCAACGAAGGGAATAAAAGCCAAGACTGACCATTGACTCTGCTTTGCACTTCAACTTTTTGGCTTCCCTCATGTGAAAATCAGCTTGCTGTCTGAAAAAGAAGAGGAAAAAGCAGAGATGGGTCACAGGAACCTAAAATTACTAGATGAGGGTAACATAACTTAAAACTGAGAGATGACAGAAGATAGGAGGAGAAAGGGAAGAGGATGAGGTAAATAATGAAGGACAAGAGGTAAAGAGAAAGGGAAGAAGCAAAGGAGAGGGAAACCAGGAGAATGAAAAATAAGAAAGCACCAGAACTCTTACTTGTCAAACTTCACTTGAGGCTTCCCTGGTTTAGAGTTACCATTTGGCAAAAAAGGCACTGGAAAAGGATTTGCAGTGTCTCCAGAAGATCCCTTTAAAAAAAAAAAAAAATCAGACACAAATTATACTATAACCCTAAGATCAATGTCCTAAAGGAACATCCCTCTTAAGCATCCAAAAACAGTAGTTTGAAAAAGAAATTTTAAGTCAATCACTGCACAAGTGAACTGGGTCACACACTTTCCCAGCTGCAGATGCAACTGAAACTTTTAGGTTCTGGTTGTAAACTCAAAACAACGTTAAGTAAGTCCCAAAGAACAGGTCATTCACAGAGCCAAATAGAACATTTTCTCTTAGTCAATACAAACACAGAGGGACCAGATTAATAAGAAGAAGTAATGTTTGAGAAAGCTGTTAATTTTTTTCCCATTATAACCAATAATCAAAACATTTGTGATCAAATATTCAAAGGAAGAACTGGGGTAACCATTTTTTTTTTTTTTGCTGCAAAATATCTGGTAAAGAATTAGTACAAAAACCTATTGAATTTTCTGCCTTTGAATTACTAAGAACAAATCGATCCTAACATTTGTTTAATATCAACTCCCTTTTATTCCCCCTCCCAAAATTACGACTCTAAAGAGAACTCATCATTGCCATATTAAAACAGAGGCACAACTCTGAAGTTCCATCATTAGGGACTTACTTTGAGAACTTACAGACACACCAATACATCCCATTTTGCATAATTACTACCTTCCCTACTTACTTTGTGTTCAGCGGAGCTTCCAGAGCCTTTCCCCTGTACTTTTCTGTGCTTTGAAGCGGAAGGGTCTTTATGGTTGCTCTTGGTACTACTGGCACTTTTGGGAGGGTCGTGGCCACAAATGTCTGCTTCCTGCCTTGACCTCTTGTGTGCTGGCTTGGCTGGTTTTTGGGAGGACGAGGATGAGGACGACACAGGTGGAGGGGGAAGCATTTCCTGTTTTGCGGGCTCTGAGGAGGGCCTAGGTGTCCTGGAGTGAAACATCACACAAAACTAAACTGAGGCAGAACACAAATCGCACAGCTTAGTTTCATTTTAAAGGATAAAATGGCCGCTGGCATGAAAAACTTCAGGGCTACTGAGCATGAAATCATGTTGTAGAAAAAGCCAAATTTTAGGGACTTTTCATGCCTTGAGAAATCTTTCCCTATTCATTAGTAACAAATGAAGCTGTATAACTTTTCACTTAGCTTGCCGATCATGACAATGGTCTTAACTTACCCCAAATGTTCCTACCTTTCAGTGGCTCCCTAGCCTATGGCCTGCCCTGGCCAACAGACAGGCAAACCAAACGGCTGCCTCCACACCTGACACCTTCTTCTCCCTCTCTCACCTCCCGGTGGGCTCCCAATCATGGCACTCTATACCTGTTTTGGCCAAGTCACTTTGTGAGGCAATTTCTTGAATAAATCAGTAAATAGCAATTACTTTTTTTTATTCACCGTCTTAGCACTACCATTCTCATCTGTCATCTGTCTCCCTAGTGACAGAGGCTGGTTGGCCTTCAGATTCTTACTCATCTCTAAAAGAAAGAACACTGAACCTAGGCTCCCCGTGGTGTCTAAATGCTAGCTTTAGCACCCAGCAGAAATTCTGTGACTCTGAGCGAACTGTTCTCCCTCTGTGCCTCCACTGCCCACTCTGCAAAGCAGGGAAAGTAATAACACCTTTCGTACTTCCCATTAGAAAACACAATTCCATATATTTAGAAAACTTCCCTTACTGAAAATGCTCCTGATGAATCTAAATTTGCTGCTGAATTGTCAATTCCCGCATGATGAGAGGAACACATCATCATCAAAATAGCCAGAATGAGTTCATTAGTCCACTGGTTCTACCACAGAACACTTTTTTTTTTTTTTTTTTTTTTTTGCCTTTCCAAGACTCAAGAAGAGTTGGTCACCTTTTTAGGCTGTTCCCAATCCGATCTCCATACTCACTTTGTTTTAGAAGATTCTTTGTGGGAGGATGAGGATGAAGAGGACTGTGATTTGGCTTCTTTCTCCAGTCTGATTTTTTTGTTATCATAGTCTCTTTCTGTTTCGCTCTATTAATGGAAATATAACAAGCAAGGCAAAACGACACAAATGTTAATTGTACCAACAAAACAGAAAAGAGAATACAGAAGCAACAAAGAGAATAGTTCAACTTGTAGAGACATCTGTGTACTCAAAGTAATCCCATTAGAACTTAAAAGGTCATTTGTGATGGGTGAGGGCAGAGAGGATACGTTATCTAAATTTGATGAGGGTTGTATTGAAACAGACTTTGCACAAAAGAGACTATTCCCAATACCACGGAAAGGGGTGATATCTGCTGGGCACAGTGGTAACACACCTTCTCTGATCCCAGTGGCTTTTACCCTGAAGCAAAAGGATTTTGAGTTCAAAGCCAGCCTCAGCAACTTAGCAAGGCCTAAGCAATCCAGCAAGACCCTGTCTCTAAATAAAATATAAAAAAGGGTCAGGGATGTGGCTCTGTGATTAAGCACCCCTGAGTTCAATCCCTGGTACCAAAAAAAAAAAAGGTAGGTGAAGTCTAAAATAATAGATGACAACAAGAACAGACTTCAACACATCATTGATGTTTTTCGAAATATTAAAAGACTCAATAATTAGCATGCACGAGGCTGTAGCGCCAAAAAAAAAGGGCAAAGAATCAATAAAACATGCCATATTCACATCAAGCAACACAGGGATGATTTTATGAAGCCCCCTCCCACTTCTTTCAAAAGAACCATTCACTTACATCCACGAACTTATTGTATGTATAAAATTCAGAGTGGAATATTGAAAACCTACTCCTAATGAAGAATAGAGAAATTCTGAAAAAGAAACTGACTATAAAATCCTCTACATGTCTCACAGAAAGAATTATACAGATATTTCACAAAATAAAAATAGTTACTGGGAGATTCTGTCTTTTCCCTCTCCATTCTCTCACCATCCCCAATATTATCTTTATCTTGCTCTCCTCCACCCCATATTACACATTTGTATCTTCCCAAAAAATTCTTATTAAAAAATGAAGGACTACAAATATGATTTTAGTGGGAATATGGAAAGAAAGGGAACCTAACTATAGGATTTAAGTAATTCAAAAGCACCCATTTTACAACTAAAATGCTAAATACGGTTAATCATCAGAAGAACAAGTCTTCACAGCCAACCATGAAGCCTTTTCCATGTTCTCATGTGCTACCTGTGACCATGAACACCTATGTTAAGTACGAGAAGTCTAACATAAGGACTTCACAGTGGCCTCCTTGCCACTGGACTGGCTAAAGAAGGAATCCACGCTCTCTCCAGCAAGTGGCAGTGATGTGATAAGTAGGAGTCCTTCAATGAACTCTGCTACACAATGAGAACTGGACTCCCCAACTGAGTTCATGGAGTTAGAAATCTGGGTCACCACCAGTCAATCTAGGACAATCCTCAATCAATCCCAAATCCTCTTAGGCCTTAAAGGAGAACAACATTCTTCAAATTAACTGACAGTGGATGGTACTGGTTTTTCACCACTGTGTCTTCCTCTTTCCCTGAACTTCTCCAAGAAAAATTAATAAATTAAGATGTTTAGGCTCAAGGTCTACCCAGACATTAATAAACAGCCCGGCCCTGCTCAAAAGAACAAAAAATAAAAAATAAAAATCCCTCCCTTCTGCCAACTCATGTGCCTTTAGTTGTGTGTACTTCCAACCAGCCCTACATAGAATCTTCTGGAAAAACCCTTTTATTCACTTATGTACTGTCTTGTTTCAAAATAGATTCATTCATGGTGGCTTACAAAGATACTTGTTTTTAGTCTTGTGTGCAGAAGTGAGAACATTAAATAAAGGGAAAATATGGGTGGAGGAGAGGAATTAAAGCCAAGGGAAGGTGCATACTCTCTGAAGGCCATCAGTTCTCACAGCCCTGCAGGCTCCTGCCAGCTCCTGCCAGCTCCTGCCAGCAGGCTGGGCGGTAAGCCCATAGGGAGCACCTGCACTTGAACGTGGCTGGTCTGAAATGAGAAGTGACTCTGAAGATGTGGTGCCAAGAGAGAATTTAACAGTTTTCAGGTTGATGGAAGTTTGAGATATCTTGTATTAAGTAAAATTATTGAAATTATTGCCATTAGCTTTCTTTTTTCATTTTTTATTAAAAAAAGAAATTTAAGATTAATATGTGGTTCACACTATATTTCTATAACAAACATAGTTTGCTATAAATTGGGTTCTGAATTTCTAATTAGCCAACACAAAGAAGGAATTATAGGGATAAGATATAAATAAATCAGCAGAAATGTAACCATTCACTATGGGAAAATGGGGGAAATGTATCTTGTGGGTCCTAATAAGGAGATGAGTGCTATATGAGGTATGTAAGCAAGGCCTAAACCCATGACTGAAATGCCACAGGAAGTAGTAAATGGCTGTTTGTTCTGTGAGCACCAGCGGGTAGCAAAGTTCAGAAGTCAAAGGCACTGGCAGAAGCCAGGAGAAGCCTGCAGGGACACTGTGACAAGCTCTGTAAACACACAAACTCCTGTTCAACAATTTACAGTGGTAGCACTTCAGAGATGGCAAACCATGGTTAAGAGAAAAAGAATCACCAACAGGGTTAAAACAGAATCCTGCTGCAGGTTGTGGAAACCCCCCTGTCAATTAAGCCCTAATTGCACCCAGGTTCACTGTCACCAAAGGGGTCAGGGAATTATCTTAAATTTTAGATTCTATGTGGCATATCTGGCCTAGCAAGAATTGCAAGAAAATGGGAAAATTATTTTGGGGGAAAGTCAGAATTTGCTAAAATATCTAGATGAATATTAACTTGCACATGAGAACATGAGATAGTAAAACAAACACACACACACACACACACACACACACACGAAAGTCATTTCCTGTTAGTTAATGACATAACACAGGTCTCCAAGACAAAACTAACATAAACCATCCATAAAGTAGTTTCCTCTTCAAGAAAACACTGGAGTCCAGAGGTGAAATGAGAGCTAATTTTTGTTTGTATGTTTTTGTGCTGCTTAGGACATGTTAGTTATTATTATAAACAAAAGTGGCAGACCTTATAAACCACACATGAAAATAAGATTCACGGTGAGTTAATTCCCACAAACTCTGCTTGTGCCATTTGAAGGCTCAAAAGAAGAGCCAACAAACAAGAAATCACCAGACACTAACTTCAGTACTGGCATTTAACAATGCTAACATTTAGCGATTTATGGAAATAATATGCTTTAAATTGATATTTAACAACTCAGATGCAGAGAATACTCCAGAAGCTAGTAGAAGGAGCCACTTAAGTAAATAAAGCAATCCTATTGATTCTGCATAACTATTGAGCTCACGTCTGCGGGTTTGGAGGTTAGTGTTTCCTTGTACACTATGCACTTGGAACTTTGTTCTTCTCTGTCTGGAACAGTCAGAGGCTTCCTCAGAGCAGGCACTCAGCATTTGTGAAGGTCCTGGAAGGGGGCCTCATAGTGAAATCAAGTGAATAGACTGGGGGAAGAATCATTAAAGTGGGGCCAGAATACTGAGTATTAAGAAATTAAGACTTGAATTTCAAAGTTCCAAGTACTGCTGAAAGATAGGTGGCATGGTGTTCTTTAGATGCTTCTGGGTCAAGCAGACTCATGAAAAATCAGAGGGCAGTAACACATACTCTTTGGGAGGAAAAATGAAATCTCTTTGCCCAATGGTTTTATCCCCAGGTTGCCTCTATTTCAGGGACTCCAGTCAAAGGCCTGAGATTCAGAAATTCTTGTTCCATTAGGGTAAGTATCTCAAGGGTGCCGGCACCTACCACAGAGGAGACTGTTGGCTGCCAATCTGGTCCTAGCTCACTTGTTTGCTTTCCCTAACCTGTTGGGTCAGGCAGCCTTGGGTGATCTGCCAAGTGCTGCTCCACCTACAGAACAGAGCTAAAGGGCAAGAACTGAGACCATAAAAGGAAGAGATGGGGCTGTGCTTGGCCAAGTCAGTTTCTGTAAGAGAACGCCTCCAGGGCAGCCAGGTGCCTGCCCCAGCACCTGGCTTGTCATGTAGGCACTTGTAGGTAGCAATGGGAAACGAAGGTGGCTTTTTCCAGGACCAGCACTTATTTGAGGGCACAGAGTTTCTGGTTGGAAAGATACAGCCTGGCTGTGACGGGGGTATAAGGGAGTATCTGAAAGGGAAGCTGAAATGGTGACAAAGAGTATACGTGGGCCTCGGGGTGGCAGTGGTGGGAGCAATGGATTAAACTGGGACGATATTATAACTGTCCTATTAATCCTAATGGCTGCAGTTAATACATGGATCTTGAACTCTGATCTTGTACCTCTCTCAAGCATCTCCAGCAACATGTGTATACAAAAATTTGTGAGAGAAAAGAGGAAAACTCACAGGATTTGGAGGTGGCAGCAAACCTGAGCTCCAGATCTGCTTTTACTCAGAAGCCAAGTGATGCTAGCACCTTTCTAGATCTCATCTATGAAAAGGTAGCAGCCTACGGAGCATAATGGCACACACCCGTATGCCACATACTCAGGAGGCTGGGGCAGGAGGATTGCAAGTTAGATGCCCGCTTCAGCAATTCGGCAAGACCCTGTCTCAAAATAAAAATTAAAAAGGGCTGGGGATGTAGCTCAATGGTAGAGAACCCTGAGTTAAACTCCAGTACCAAACACATACAAAAGGGGGCGGCCTTAATGAGGACTGCTAGGTTCTTTCAACCAAGTCCAAGACTCTACTATATTCTATATTCTCCCAAAGAAAAGCAAATGAGTTTGGTAGCACATGAAGCAGAGGAAAAGTGGAGAAGCAGACAATACTCTGGAAAAGTCAGGCAATTCCCTCTGAAGGGGATTTAATCGAGAAAGACACGGGGCTACCCAGGCCAGTTCACACCAAGAACATGGGAAGGGACTTAATGAGAAGACAGGTCATGTTCACTGGGCAAATGCTGCAGAAAAGGAAAATCAATCACTCTTCCTCCTTGGTGAGGATACACACACCAAGGGACTGGAATGTCTAGAAACAGCCTCAGCTTGCACAGGCCTACAGGTGTGATGCTCTTAGAATAACTGACAGGCATGAAGAGATGGCTATAAGCCACTTCAGAAAATTATAAAGGATGAGCTTTCAAACCCCTTGATTTTAAGGATAAAATCTGAGGAGAAACAAGCCAAGAAAAGACAGATTTTGGATGGAAGGGAAATAAAGAATCAATCATCTCAAGCAATAGAAACATGCTTTTTCCTACCACATACAACTTACCTTCCCAACTGTGTAAAACACTATTAAATATCACTGAAATTCTGCACTCCCCCACCTAATGTTAAAGTTTCTTAGTAAAGCATTTATTTAGAAATGTATCCCTTGTTCAGTTATTTGTCTAAATGACTGAAGACAGGTTATCCACCTATAAGATGATTGGGTGAAAAGAAGTATTAGCTACACATATGCCTAGCACCCAGCAGGGTTTATACAATAGCTCCATGCCTGTTAGGTACATCTGTAGGTACATTCCAATTGCACTGGCCTGAGTGTGTATCATACCATGATTCTCAACTCCAATTTTTCTTCCAAATCTGGAAAATGTGAACTAGGCTTAAGAATAAAAGCTTCTTCTCAGAAAAGGAAAAATCAATAATGTGAAGAGAGAGCCTACAAAATGGGTGAAAAATCGACCACACACATCTCAGAGAGAGCACTAATATCCAGGATATATAAAGAACTCAAAAAACTTAACATCAAAAATGCCAAACAACCCAATCAATAAATGGGCTAAGGAACTGAACAGACACTTCACAGAAGAAAAAAATATGACCAATCAACAAACATACGAAAAAGTGTTCATCATCTCTAGCAATTAGAGAAATGCAAATCAAAACTACTCTAAGATTTCATCTCACTCCAGTCAGAATGGCAGCTATCAAGAATATAAGCAACAATAAGTATTGGTGAGGATGTGGGGGAAAAGGCACACTCATACATTGCTTATGGGACTGCAAACTGGTGCAACCACTATGGAAAGTAGTACAGAGATTCCTCATAAAACTTAGAATGGAACCACCATTTGACCCGGTTATCCCACTCCTTCGTTTTTACTCAAAGGACTTAAAGTTGTCATTCTACAATGATGCAGCCCCATCAATATTGATAGCAGCTCAATTCACAACAGCTAAAAACTATGAAACCAATCTAGATGCCCTTCAACAGATGAATGGATAAAGAAAATGTGGTATGGGCTGGGGTTATAGCTCAGTTGGTAGAGTGTTTGCCTAGCATGCACAAGGCCCTGGGTTCAATCCCCAGCACCACACACATACACAAAAAAAAATGTGGTATGTATACACAATGGAATATTATTCAGCCTTAAAAAATTTACAGGTAAACGGATGGAACTAGAGAATATCATACCAAGTGAAATAAGCCAATCCCAAACCAAAGGCTGATAAGCAGATGCTATCCATAATTAGGGGTAGGGAAGACTGAAGGAACTTTAGATTGTGCAAGGGGAGTGAGGAGAAGGGTGGGGCTGTAGGGATGGGAAGGATGGTAGAACGAGACCCACATTATTATCCTATATACATGGATGATTGCACCACTCCTGTGACTGCACCATGTATATCCAGAGGAATGAGAAGTTGTGCTTCATTTGTGTACAATGTGTCAAAATGCATTCTACTGTCATGTATAACTTATTAGAACAAATTGAAAAAATAAAATAAAAGAATTGTATAAAAGAACATAGGTGCTATTTTAAATTCTAAAGTGCAATCAGATTGATAAAAGTCAACAGTTATGTAAGGAGTTCATACCTATTCTCCCTCAAAATTTCTTCATGTTTCCTCAAGAATGATTCCTTACCCTCCCCTTTAAAGTAGACAGAAAAGTGGGTACCTTTTCACAAGTGCCACATTTGATGGCTTCATCACAGCTGTTAACCATTATTAACTTTTTTTGGTGGGGGTCATTTTGGTAGTGCTGGGGAGCAAACCCAGGGCCTTACAAATGCTAGGCAAGTGCTCTGCCACTGACCTATACCCCCAGCCCCTACCATCTACTCTTTATGACCTTCTTCTTTATATGTGCTTAAGTCTAAAATAGTTATAAGAACCTGTGAACCCTCGGGAGATATTTGCTAAATTTTGCTCCAGGAGAGAAATAGGCTCTAATGGGCCTTCAAAGAAAAGCTGTAAATTCTACTTATGTGAAGGATCAGGCATATTCTTCAGTGGCTCTGACTATATTTTCAGAGAGCTTTTCAAAGTGTTCACACTTAAAATGAAAAAAAAAAAAAAAAAAAAAAAATATCCACCAACCATATTTAGGGGGGAAAAACCAAGCGTTAAAAAGGTAGGGCGCCTTTCCTCTCCCATAGGATCCAGGCCCCCATGCCAAGCTGCCTCCTGGAACCCCTGTGCTCTGTAGAGCTGGATTCAGGAAGCACTGAACAAACAGGGTACTGGAGAAGGGGACAGCCAGTCCCACACAAGGAAGGATGGGATATGAATATAACATGTCCAATACCTCCCACATATAACCCAGCCCAGCAGGAAGTAAAACAAAACAACAAAGGACACATGCTCAGGAGATAAGTATAGGGTTGATTATACTTATTCATCTGAGAGCGCCTAAGTCAGTCACTAACTAATGACATACTTCAGGCAAGTTCCCAGCTGCCCAGATCTGAACTGTCTAAATGCAGCACACCTGATGAATTTCTCAGCCCACAGAGGTAGTTTGCATGATCTGACGCACTGCGGTCAAGCACTGCTCTAATAGTTCCAAGCCCTGCTAGGCGTTAGGATTACCTAAGGAATTTCAAAAATATCAGTGGGGATGGGCACCCTGCCATCATTGCCAAGGTCTTCCCAGGTGACTGTAATGTAGCCAGGGTTGGGAACCAAGGGGTCAGACCTCCACCCTGTCAATAACTAAGACAGACAGACTGTTCCAGGCCAGATCTCTCAGCTGCTTGCCAGAGCTTTAAAGAAATCATGCACTCGATTAAAATGAGGGATCATTACTTCTCTATGTTCTAAATAGAAAGATAAATGAGCTGCCCTAGAGGAGCTCAGCCAAAACCTGAGGGCCCAGTTCTGATAGCTAACAGGGAGAGTTTGAAGTTTTTCTGGAGTCACAAGCAATGCTTCTAGATTTGCACTGGGTGATGGAGAAGGCTAAGAATTGTGAGAGAACCTCCAATATCTAACATTTCCACCTAGTGAGTCAGCGCTGTGGAGGTGAATGCTTCTCCTCACTCCAGCAAATGCAATGGGTTAGCACTGGAGACCGTACAAAACCATAGAAGCCAGAGGGTACAGGAGATGAAAGACTTCCCTGGAGGAGGAGGTAAATGAGTGCATGAGTCTTTCTCAAGGACATTAGATGAAAGCACCTTTTTTCCTAAGCAGGTCCATGACAATTTCCTTCTGAAAGTTTTACACTTTGCACATGTATACACATGCATACATGCATACACACACACACTACATTTTTTAACATTCTGGAAGCATTTTGGCATGAAAATATGCTCTATTCTAACTGAAACAGCACCACCAATGAGCACCTGATGCCAGCTCACTTGACCTGTAGCTGATGCAGTGGTAGCAGTGTACACTCTCACGTCCCATGCAAGCAGGTTCTAGAGATAACAGTTGCCCTGTGCTGTTTGTTAAAGTTGTGTTTTATTTTTAGCTAGTGGATTAATCAGTCGGATCTCAGACATGACAGCAGGCTTCATGATTTTTTTTCCCCCTCTGTTATTCTTAGCTCAAGTTCCACAGCTGAGTAAGACATTTTTCATGTGCTTATAAGAGTGTTAAAAATGTTATCCCTTCTCAGCAGGAGAGAGCTGGCCTTTCTTGCGCCTTTGTCTTGGGATCCCGAGCAGGCTGGTGTGGGGAACACCACTGGGAAAGTGCTCATCTTTCATCATCTCAAAGAAGCAAATAATAAATAGGTCCAGAGCTCAGTACTAAAAGTGAAGAAAGGACAACTACCCAAATAGTGGTGTGTCCAAGTAAGAGGGTCTCAAATAATGCATGGATTTCCTCCTTTCCTTTACTGTGTCAAACGAAACTTCCAAAAATCATAATGAAAGATGTCCAGTAGGGGGCTGGGGATGCAGCTCAGTTAGCAAAGTGCTTGCCTTGCATGCATAAGACCCTGGGTTCAATCCCCAGCACCACTAAAAAAACAAAAAGGCGGGGGGGAGTGGGCTGGGGATGTGGCTCAAGCGGTAACGTGCTCGCCTGGCATGCGTGGGGCGCTGGGTTCGATCCTCAGCACCACATAAAATAAAACAAAGATGTTGTGTCCACTGAAAACTGAAAAATGAATATTAAAAAAAAAAAGAAAGATGTCCAGTACTTTGCAATGTACCCAGAAACCTATGTTACTCACGAGCTATCCTGATCATATGTTTAACAGCTCTAGTGAGGAGTCAGGAGATAAACTATGGATGTAACGTTGGTATTAAAAAGTTCATCCTATAAGAATAAAACTTGTACAGAGCAGTTATTTCAGTAATTCAGAATACTGATTAACCTTTCAATTTATGTAAGATCTTAATTTCTAGGGCAAAATCTAGTGGTTCAAGTGGTAAAACCCCAGTGTTAACTGAGAGCCCAAAAGTTCCCCCAGGCCCCAGCCCTGCACCAGGGCCACCCCACAGTGTCACAGGAGGCCTGTCTCCCTTACTCACCTTTCTCTTTTTGGACAACTTGCTGGAGTTGTCTGAGCTTCTCTTCTCAGAGTCCTGCTTCTTCCCTACAGGCAGCTGTTTATCTTCCGGTTTCTTTGGGCGGCTCCCCCTCCCGGGTGGCTGGGGAATCCGAGTGAGAAGATCTAGGGTTATCTTCACCATCAAGCTCTGTGGGGTAGGAGTGTCCCTGAGCGGTGAGAGCAACTTGGTGTCTCTCAAAGGCAATGGGAGTCTGTCTTTGCGGCTGTCCTCCTGGACCACCACTGCTTGCCTGCAGCCGCTAGTCCTGCCACCACCACCACTATGGGGCGGGCCCTGGCTCTGAGTCAGGGGGACAAGAGCAAAGTGCTCAGGGCTCCTGTCTCCCACACTGTCCTTCGTGGGTTCTGGGCCTGAGAGCGCCTTGGAGGGGGGTGCCGGGGAGCTCTTGTGCTTCTTCTTCTCACTGGGGACTGGCACTGCAGGCTTGGGCTCTCTGCTGCCCCCAGCCCGGGGCCTGCCTTTCGTCTTCACCTTGGGCTTATCTTTGGAGGTCTGGTCCTTTGAGCCATAGGGAAGGAGTCCTGGCTCACTTTCCACCTGCAAGCTGGCCCGAGAATCTGCCTGGGCAGAGGCCTTGACAGGTTTTTTGGGTTGTTTGGTTCCAACAGTTTGCCTAGGTGGGGGTTCCTGTTGTGCAGGGGACTTCTGACAGGTTCTCTTTCCAGGGTGGGGGCCTTCAGAAGGGACCCGGGGGACTTTGCTGGAGCTCTTCGGGGGAGGATCTTTGGACTCAGAATGCTCTTGACTTGCGGTGCTCTCGCTGCCACCCTTGCTTTCCTGGCGCCGACGGGGGAGCTCTGTGTTCCCCAGGGCCTCGGAAGGCACCACAGGCTGGCTGACTTTGGTCAGCCAGTTGTCCAACTGCCATTTGTTTGTTGTTGGAGGTTCAGGCTGAAAATAAGGAAATAAAGAAAAGTGTTAGCTGACCATTGATGACAAACTATTCTTTTGTGATAGTCACCCAATTAATCAGGTCTATCCCAGGAGAGGCAATCATTCCAAGTCTAAGAATTTAGATTCTATTTATCCTTCTCAAATTATAAGTTGGACTCTATCTTCAATATTTTTGTGATTTGGGGATTTTGTTATGGTAGATATTGACTAATAGGTTATTGACAACTGCTGAGAAATCTTTGTAACATAAATCTTTTGTTCCAATGGGAATCATGGTATAATTTAAAGAGAACTGACATGTCTTGACTTCGAGGCTACTCTATGAGAGAATAAAAAATAGAACGAGGAATAAAAAGACTCCTTTTATAAAGAATTTTTAGAAGGCAGCTACTGCATGAACTGAGTTAAGTGATTACCCATGAGAGTCATGCTTTATCCTTTCTTTGGCATGCTTTCCATTTTTAAAAAATAAATAAATATATACATACATATTTTGTTTTGGCATGCTTTTCAATTGAAAATGACTTTTCTTCAACATTTTTCTTATTTACTTAAAAAACAAATATTTAGGGGTGGGATTGTGACTCAATGGTAGAGCACCTGCTTAGCATGCATGAGGCACTGGGTTGGACCCCTGGCACCACAAAAAGATAAACAAAATAAAGATACTGTGTCCATTACAACAAAAAAAATTTTAAAAATAAAAAAAATTACATGTAATAAAGCTATCAGTGTATCACAGATACATACTGTTTTTGAATTTTATACTTTAATAAAAATAATCAAGTGAAGTTACATTAGCCAAACCTCTGACCTAGGTTCCTTAAAAGTTAGACATTAGGTCTCTTGTTTGAGGCAACCTGGACTAAAATAGCACCAGTATTTCTAAGACACAGGTAGGAGCAATGAGGTTATACTGATTGCCTGTACAACTGATTTGGCAAATCAGCAGAAGTTCCTAAGTAATTTTAATTAAAACCACTGTGGCTGAATTAACTATTGATGCTTACCACCACATCTTTCTAACTAGACTATAAGATCTTAACAGAATAACAAAAGATTCTTGCATTTCCACTTTCCAATTCTGTGTGTCTTAGATACAGGAATATACACTTAAAATATTTGAGTATTCCAAGGCACATGAAGTTTTATATCATATAAAATATCACATCCAATAGAGTGAGCAATGATAAAGGGCCATATATCACAGGCTTGTTACATGTTTTTCTTAAGATCCATTCTCTCAGATGATTTATATGAATAACTAAATCGTGTATACAAAGCACCAGGAAGTGGAAAGACAGTCCACGTAGGATTTGCCTTACTGGATTATAGATAAGGGAGAACACTCCAGTAGGCGGAGGAACTTTTGTTTTGCAATGCTGGGGATCAAGCCCAAGGCTTCCTAAATACTACACAAGTGCTCTACCACTGAGCTACACTCCCAGCCCCAACATGGAAGATTTTTAAGGGAAAGATTGACAATTTTCCAAGTAAAATATACTAAATAATCCAACTCTGCAAAAACATGTAAATCTAACAATGCAAAATTATGAATATAATATAATGGCTTTTGGCCAGGGAAATGTTAGATAGTTTGGGTTTAGTGTGTCTGTAATAGAATAAAACTAAAAGAAATTTTAAGAAACTAGTTAGGATTATACTTTGGACAGAAAGATGACTGCATAAATTCCTCTCTGTCTGCTCCCCCAATACTGAGGCTTATGATCACATATCTCCTTGACAGCTTCCTATAATTCCAGCAACTTTATATCCATCCTCTCCTTTGAATTTCAGGGTAGGGAGAAAGGGAAGAAGAAAACCACTGTAACATGCAAGGCATTTTGTCACATGTAAATCTAAATTTGTAATCAATATTCTAACAGAGCAAGATGATTGTCAAGGGTAGAGAAAATATCAGCACAATACCAACTTGTCAAGCATGATTTCCTGCAAAGACCTGGGAGTATAATAGCTCTAGTGGTTAACTGACCAGACAAGGCAATAAGATATAGCACTTGCCAATAGCATCAGGTACAGAACCCTGCCCATCATTCCTCAGGAGAGCTATCTCACCACAAGCTTTGTTTATAACTGCAGCCAATCACTGACATGCTCCTTAAAAGAGTATGTGTGAACCCAAAGGGACGACATTCCTGATGTAAGGCACGTCTACTCCCACAACCCCCAAATAGGGCGGTATTTAGATACCTTGGTAGTCCCTAAAGGAATGTCCTGGTTACCAAAATAACACACTGACTTCCACTGCAGTCCTCAATGTCCAGAAGTGAAGCCTATGGCCCATTTTCACAGCAAAACTGAGTTAGTATGCCCAGACACAGGGAAAGAATGGAGCAAATTGTTTTTTGTGTATTTAATATAAAGTTGTAAAATGGATACAAGATCCCTTTAAGGTCAGATATATTATTTGGTTACCGGGAAGAGGGAAAAGTTTGCATAAGGGATTGATTTTAAAAAATAGGTGTAAAATAATTTTTAAGTAGATAAGTGCCAGGCAGGAGCAAGGCTTTTATTTCTCTGTCTGACTTTCCTCATTTCCCTTCTGTACGCCAAGTGCTGGTACAACACAAAGACTGTATATTGGAAGTAGGAAAAAAGTACATGATTAAATTTTAGGTGTTTTAATAAATGTCTGGTCACATGTCCTTTTATTTCTCCTAACCTCTTAAATTGTCAATTAATGTATTTCAGAATGAATTGTGGTTCTGAATAAAAGGTTTTGAGTTAAGTGCAATATGTACCTACCTTTTAAATAATAATTTCATAGGTATGGAGAATATAAGCACAAAATTTAAAAGAAAAAAACATTATAATAAATTTCAAAAGGAAGAGAAAGTTAAGACTACCTATGGCTGATATGGAATTCATGGTATTCTCAACTGACACAGCAGAGTTACAATAAATGTAAGTATAGCAAAGAAGAAGAAAAAATAGGCACACTAAGGGGGGTGGGAATCATATTTTAGAGTTAAATGACCATAGACCATAGGCTGAATTTCAGTGCCACTACTTCTTTGTAGGCAAAACAAAAACTGCTAACCTTACAGGGCTGATGGAGGTGAGAAGAGTTAAATCATTTTATGACAAAGCTTCAAGAGTGCAGGAGGCAATCAACACAAAGTCCTTTACTACCAAGGGACTAGACAATGAACAGAGTAAGAAATGAAGTAGATTCCTGAATAACCCAGATGGAATCATGTTTTCTGAATTTTTCTTAAGTAGCAGAAAAGCAATGTGTCCTACATATTCTGAAAATTGAGATCTGCATTTTGATTCCCAGTATAAAGCAGATACTGAAATGGAATCCACCGTGGCTGGGTCCCAAGTTAAGCAGCGGCCCAGCGGCATGCATGCAATGCTCCAGATCTCCTAAATCACTGGAACTATTTCATCATATGAAATGAATGAAAATGGAGCCATAACTACCAAGTTTTCCAGCATTAAAAATAGAAGTGGATGAGAAAGTAAAACTAGTATCTATTGCTGATTATGGAATTCTCATTACCTTCAACTAAAACAGGAGATTTATATAATAATGCAGGAATTTGTTTACAAAAGGGGGAAAAAAGGAGTTAAATACCTTAGTGAAAATTAAAGGTAAACCTAGAAAACATTCATGGGAAGATGGAACTTAGTACGTAACATACAAACTCTCCACAAGCCTGGATTTGCATATCAATACATACGTACCAATACAAGTCTATTAGTAAAGTGATTTTAAAAAATGAAGCAGAAGGGCTGAGATTGTGGCTCAGTAGTAGAGCACTTGCCTAGCACGTGAGAGGCCCTGGGTTCAATCCTCAGTACCACATAAAAAATAAATAAATAAAATAAAGGTATTGACAACTACAACTAATATATATATATATTTATATTTAATATATATATGAGTGTATATATATACATACATACATGTATATATATATATGAAGTAGGATGGAGCACTTATTTTTCAGCTAAGAAATTTCAATCAACATAATTCCAATAACTTCTTGAGTACTGAGACACACATCTCAATAGTAGAAACACCAGATCAAATCTTTTTTAAGTTTCAATTATTCAACCAATGCTGTACTATTTTGATTTCATTTAATTGAATTATCTTCTTTATATCAATAATCTAACAAGCATGCAAATTTTTCTTACTAAAGATGAAACATACAGCAAAGATCTTATTAACAATGAACATCACACTATCTGTCTACATAGCATATTCAGCATCCTTTTCTCGGAGGCATAGAAAATTATTTCAATAGCAATTATTATCACACAAGAAAACAAAGAGCCCTAGAAACAGAGAAGTTTCTGAAATCTGAAAGGTATTTTAAGTGTAATTAATGCTGATCCACTTTCATGCACTCAAAAAAAAAACAAACCTGAGCATTTATTCTGGACCAAAGATTCACATTTAACAAAAAATGCCACCCTGTTATTTTCTTAGCCTCCCTTGACCTCAGACAAGCCCATGTTTACATCTCACTATATGATCTCTAGTTGTATTTGGTTAATGCTGTAACAGAACTACCTCTCATCTAAGCAGAAGAGATGAATATAGAAAATTTTTAACTTTCCTAATCAGAAAGTCTCATTTCCTGGTATTTTCACCTTAAATATGCAGACAGTTTTCTCTATGTGGGCTGGTCTTATTCACTAAAAGTAAGTATGTCTTTCCCTTTTCATTACTACCTTTCTTCGGCATAATTTTTACACTCCTACCCAAGTTTTGAAGGTTTCTGGCAACCTTGTTAGTTGCTACTAACAATTTCTTATACTCAACCGTCTAGTACATAGCATAAATCCTCTAGATAAATTTAGTGCTTGAGATTTTCAGTCTCTTCAGTTTGTTCACCTTTACAGTATCTCCTGAGGGTAGGTGACAAGCACACACAATTATCTGTTTTATATGGGGCCGAAGGGAACAAGAACCAGAGCCCTGGCAAAATCACTTTGCCATCAATTTAATGCACGGCTTTTAGTGATTCAAAAATAGAACTGATGACTTATTTCTACGTTCCTGCCCTTTGCTAAATCAGGAGGTCTCCTTTTGCTTTCTTTAATTCAGGCATTCCTGAAATTTCAAAAAGAATTCTCATTAATATTAAAACAGCAGCCTACTGAAAACAAGTTTCCTTCTCAAAAGGAGGGAAAATAAAATGGTGTGCAAACATTCTTAATGAGCTGCTCTTAAAAACAACACTAGCAATGACAGAGAAGAACGTATCATTTTAACCAGGCGAGAGAAAACATCTCTCCCAAATCTCCATTGCCAAGTATTTGGTAAGAAGTACGTAAACAGAAACAGATGGTTCTACATGGCAGAGGAGCAGGAAAGCATTGCCCATGGGGCAGAACTGCTCCGTCCCGGGTCAGTGCCACACTGACTCCAGCTCTAAAAGACAGAACGCTGCCATCTTGGATGGCCTTCTTGAGGGGTCACGGTACCTCAGGAGCTGGGGTTTCTAGGGGCTCATTCTCCTCGCTGTCACTTGAACTGCTCTCACTCTCCGAGTCTGAGGAGCTGTCTGAGTCACTGGTGCTCTCGGACTCTGCACTACTGGAATGTGCTGATGCCACTGGTTCTGGAAGCGACTGTGGAGCACTGCAAAGCAACCAAAGGATAAAATTAGAAGGTACCATGCAAGTCGAATTTCTTCCCTCTTTACCTCCCTGCCCATTTTTCTGCTATTGGAAAGGGCCTCAGTATTATCTAATCACTCAGGGAGAGAGGGGCCCACAGTAGTCTGAAAAGCCCTTAAAACAGTTCACCAGACAACTGCATAGAAGAGAAGTCTGGAGTTTTCCTTCTTTAGAACATGTCAAGCTATACAAAAGCTAAGTCAGATACTGGGTGCTTGATGTCAAAGATTGGTAAACCATGGCCTGGGCTGGCTGCCTGTTTCCTAAGTTTTATTAGAACACGCCCACACCCGTTGTCTTAAGAACTGTGGCTGCTTTCAGGCCATAACAGCAGGATCCAGTAGTTACAACAGAAACTTATGCGGCCCACAAAGGCTAAACTATTTACTAACTGGCCCTTTAAGTTTGCTGGCCCCTGATGTAGAAAACAAAAAAAACAAAAAACAAAACAAACAAACAAAAATTAGTTTGCAAAAGAAAAACTAATAAGTTAAAGTCTTCCTATATGCTCTGCATGAGAACTAGCTATATGGTAACCAAAGACCCCTGAATAAAAATTGTGTTCCTTTGGAGGGTGAGCTCAGAAATTATATTCTCATGCTTTCTAGACAGAATTACAAAATGAGCTATTCTTTATAAGTGGCTTGAGAAAATTACTCCAATTTTAACAACTGGGTAATAACTTAAGTCAATGAGAAAACACTGAGCATACTGTGAGATACAGGTAGAATTTCTAAGCATGGGTAATACAGTGATCGTTGATTATAATTCTGAACACGTCCAAATCTACCTAAAATATTTGAAAATAAAATTTTAAGTAACACATAAAATATTAGAATGAAAATTATTAAATAATTAAAATCACTAGTAAAAATAATTTTAAAACACACAGTAATACTATCTAATCTCATAAAATGCTGGGTTAACTTTAAGGCCCTTTCCATATTAGTGGCTGCTCAGCTCAAGTCAGTGGCATCAGAGAAGGACTTGCCTTTAATCAGTGCTCCTGCCTCTAACTTATCCCCACCTTGTGCTTTTTCTTTGTCCTTTACCTCTATTTTTTGGTTAGTCTACTTTTTCATGTTTTATGAGTTGACAAGACCCTCTAGAAATTCCAACAAAATTTGACAATAAACAAGTAAACTTTTTAAACCTATAAGACTGTATAATTACATGGCCTTCCTCCACACTAACTACACATCACCTCTGTGATAGCCAAGTTTTTATTGCTAACCTTGTCTCAATGCCTGTGCACATCTCCAGGGAATAAAATAATTTAAATCTTTGTCCTTGAAAGACACATATTTGTCATATTAAAGCAGGTAGGAAATATTGTAAGGGAAGTTCAAATAGTTCTCATTTCCAGAAATTAAAGCACCACATTTTCTAAAATATGGCTGGCTTATTTACAAAAACAGCGCCATTTTCCATCACATGAAAATGAACTGCAGGTCATTTTTATAAAGCAACTGAAACAATTTCAGAATTCACAAAACTAAGGAAACAGGCAGAGCAGAAAACAAGTTCTAGAAAAATATTTAGCTTTATAAATTTTGAAAACAAAGTAAAGCTGTCACCTTCATAAAAACTTTGGGCTCTCTAATTTTTGCAAATACTGGTTATACATTACTGAGGATAAACTTTAAAAATTTTAAATTCCAAAAAAAGTTTTATTTCCAAACTGATGATGTAAGTTCAGCCAGAAATCTTTCACTTATATAGTTCTAATAACCTCCCCGGGGCAGGTTTAACCTTCCAAAATACTAAACTGGCAATCTCCTGTAACTGTGATCCTCCATCTCCTTCCCCTTGTATGACAATATTAAGGCAGGGCTTTATTTTTTCAACTTGGTAAAAATACAAAATAGGAAGAAACCCGCAGACAGTACCTTGGAGGTGCAGATGAGGAAGGAGGCTTCTCTGGAGTCTAGGCATTCACAACAAGGGGAAGAAGGACCAGGAAAGAACCAAAACAGGTTAGGACACAGCTCAGATAGATATGTAGATAGATTTAAAAGGATTCTTGGCTCCATGGAGTATACAAAACTTACTTGTTCATTATCACTGTCCTCACTGTCACTGAGCTGAAGGTCATCTTCAAGCATGCTGGAAGAGGCAGAGACAGAGTTCAGAATTTTAGATAATGTCTAACCACTTTTTTTTAGCATATAAATGGAAAATACAGCTAGTGTTACCAAAGAGGAGCAAAATAGGAATAAGTTTCTTTATTTATCAAATGCTTTGTTTTCCTAGAAGTGGAAGTTTTACAGTTTGACACAACAACCAGGTTAGTTTAAGCCTCTCACCACCTCAAAACCCAGCCTTTCACATGTTCTTTCTGAACACTAAAACAGACTACCATACACAGGGATTTGTAGCCAGCCCTGAGATACAAAACCCAACTCCTAATCAGTGAGGATAGGTTCTAGAAAAATATTTAGCAACATGCAAATATTTAACAACATGCAAACAATACAAATAAACTGAAAAAGAAAAGGAAGAAGAAAAAATATACAGAATACTCTCAAATTATTCTACAGTCTCTAATTGAACATGGAATAAATGATTAATCATTACACGAGTTAATGCTGAATGGTATTTGTAAAGCAAACAAGCAGACCTATAAAAGGTGTTATATAAGAATTAAATACAATTGCATGTAGTGGTGCACTCCAGTGACTGGGAGAGTGAGGAAGGAGATCACAAGTTCGAGGCCAATGTTGGCAACTTAGTGAGACCATGTTTCAAAATAGAAAGGGCTGGGGATGTAACACTGGAGTAAACTGCCCCTGGGATTGATTCACAGAACCACAAAAAAAAAAAAAAAATTAGACAAATAAGAAATAAAAACACAGTAAGGTATATGAAACTATCAAGTCAATTATTACTGGTTCTCTTACATTTTTGTCAAGGGGATGTTATTAATATTGAACTTTTTTCACATGTAAAAATTTGTTCTCTCTTGTCTTCTTGAACACTAATCAATAGGAAGAGTAGGAATACTACTGATATCCAGAGAGTATATTTTAACTTACTGCTATCAGTCAGGGGAAAAAAAATAAGTTCATTTTCTCAAGCGTGTATTAATACGCATTTCTAGGCATTCCAGCTTATAACACAATTTAATATTAAAATCAAACATTTTCTAACCTGAACATGGTTTCTTAAATTTTAACACCTCCCCAATGTCTCCCATGGAGTTGCCCAAATATCAGTAATTACTCCCTCCCACTTCCCCTGAATTTTATGAGCATGACTATTTGAGGAAATGTTACACATAAACTGAAAAAAAAAAAAGAAAAGAAAATCTGCTGAAGTATCACTTATGTTCCAAAAAATAAATTATATTAGAAGTAAAAATCGTGCAGTATGTCTAAAAATACCTCTTCAATGATCCAAACAACGATTTTTACTATGAAACCACTGCCACTGAAAGAAGCAGGCACGATTATTTTGGGAAATCTTGGTTTAAAAAAAAAAAAAAATCACTGTGTTTGCTAATGAAAATAAGTGATAAAACTTGGCTCTTTCATAAATGACCGCCTACATGCAATGTGATAATTCTGCCAAGGAACTACTTTCACCAACAAATATACTGAAACACCCTGTGATAAGTTTCTAAATAAGATGAAACTGCTAGCTACTTGTAAATGTAGATCTTACTCAATATTTATCAAATAGAAGCTAAATTCATATTTTAGCAAGCCTATAAAAAAAAAAAACAGCCTTCAGTCACAGAATTTGGCAGTGAGCAATCATAATCATGTGCAAGAGTTACTCAACAGGTTTGCCACTAAGTGGTAGCTTGGCTGGGGGACACACAAAATTAAAGATGAAATATATGTCTTTAGGAAAAGGTATAAGGTATAGAACAACCAGAAAAACAACTGACAAAGTATATTCAATATTAATCACCAACAAAACTGTATAAATGGATTTCTTTGTTTCTTAGTCACTAGGTTTGTTTTGCATAAAACCAGTTCATCTCAATTTACTGTAACATCAATGACCATGTAATTTCACTACACTTCCTTAACTTCTTGCTTTGAATCAGTTCATATGAGAAAGTACTGGCTTCTAGCTCCATTTTGCTCTTGAGGAATAACAAGCACCATCAAAATGCTGCCCTAGATTCTGGAAATTTCTCCCTCAGAGAATAATGTAGACAATGATAAAATATAAGTAAGTGCAGGTACAAAAGTTATTCAGGGCCTAAAGAGGAGGGACAGTGGCCTTGGAAGGAAAATTGGGAAAAGTACAAACTACAAAGAACACTCAAAAAGATATGATATACCAGTAGGGTCCAATGAAACCTATCATTTATTTAAGATGTAGGTGGGATTTATTTACTTGGTATTTCACTTCATTAAAATTTGAAAGTGTAATTTACTTAGAATGTTTGCCTAGCACATGTGAGGCCCTGGATTCAATCCTCAGTACTACAAAATAATAATAATAAGAAGAAGAAGAAGAAGAAGAAGAAGAAGAAGAAGAAGAAGAAGAAGAAATAATAATAATAATGTCTCCCATGACAATCAGCAGACAAAGGTAAATTGTCAATGTGTGCAGATCCAACCAACAATAACCTAAAATCTTCTGGATACCAAAGTTGAAGACATCACCAAAGACAGGTAACTCAACATAAAGTAACATGCTGTTGGTGGGTAGGACAGGAGTGAGAAAAGGTATTTTTCAAAGTTTTTGATAAGAGACATGTGTCATATCTAAATTAAAAAAAATTCTTAAAAATCACAACCAACTCATAATTAAGTCTTGCTAATAGACAAAAATGATTGTGAAGGATTTTTAGAGACAAAGAACAACTTTAAAGGAATGAGTACCAAAGTACCCTGCTTGTCCCACAAGCAATTATATTTGAGGCTAAGCATGTCCTATCCATGAAGATTAGTCCTTGAACCTGACGGTGAGGAGAGAATTACAGCACTCCTAGGCAAGCACCTTTGCACCCAGTTAGTAAGAATTGAAATCTCTTGGCTCTGGTCCCCTCATGCCAATAAAATCCAGGTCACGAGAAAGAAGGCCCAAGGGTCCTGCCTCCTCCTTCTCCATAAATTTTTCTGGGGCAAGATCAACTCACTTTTACCTTCACATTCTCTATGTCTGGAACTTTGCAGGTGCCCTCAAGAGCTGGCTGAGTGAGCAGCAGCCCCTCTGGTGGGTCATTAACAGTGCCATGTAGCCACAACAAGGGACCTTCACAGGCACAGCCTCCACATGCAACTCCGTGGTGCTGTGACCATCCCTTCACAGACTAAAGATAAGGAAAGTGGTCACTTAACCTGCCCAAGATCATGAAGTTGGCAGATGCTGGAGCTGGGACACAGAGTCCTCTCCATCTGACACGAGATTCCCCTTGCTCTGGCCAACACATGACACAAAGGTTGGGAAACCTGATGGATGGAGTTAAATCCAAGTTTCAGAACCCAATATTGTTTTATTTTATTGATTAAAAAAATCTGTTGGGACTAAAATGAATATGCTATTTTTTTCCTTATGAAAATAAATTAAACCTTATGTGTTTTCACTGGTCAAATGACTAATTTCATTTCCAAATTCCAAGGCAAAGCAGTTATTTCAAAGCATATGGCATGATACAGCTTACTTTGGCAATGTTCAAAAGAAACCAAATTGCTCAGGTAAAGTAACTCTTTGAACTATCACGTAGGTTTAACCACATTTTACATTACCAGTTTTCTCTTAAAGGTTGCACACAATCCTCCAAACCCTTTGTATAAATGCATTCTCCAGGCAGCTACTCCAGCAAAACCCAAGGAGCCACGTACAGGTTCTGGCAGGCATGCTTCTGTGAGTCAGCCCAATCTTTACTGCGAAGGCACGGAGGCAAGCCCGCCTTTCTTTTCCACTTCTCAGTACTGGGCTTGCCCAGAGCTTTCACTGCCAATATTCTGTAACATCTCAATTCAGAACCCAAAACTACTTAAGTAAACTTGTTTCTCAGCTTAACATTTCTTATGATCGTACTGAGAAATGGCAAGTGAAGGCAAGCTCACGGTAGTTACTTGTAACTAATAAGTCATAACCATGGTATTCAGTGTGTTTAAAATGGTACAAAAAGTAATGCTTTTCAGAAACCAGTGATGAGCATGTGAGAATGTATAAACTCACACCATATCCTAAACTTGAAATTGACCTGGGGAGAGACGGGTGATGGAACAGAGTATAAGAAGGTAGGGAATCAACAGCATATCTAATTCCCCAAATTTTAAATTAAATCAGGCTTTTGGAGGTATAGCAAACATAAGGACCCCAAATGCCTTGCAAGAAACGATGGGAAGTTACAAATTATGAAGGCATCTCCACATAAAATAAGTGAAAAAGGGAAAAAGCAGCTCCCGGGCAGTTATGACGACACGTAACAGGACTCCAACCATGGGAACAGCCGACAGAAGGCAGAACTCACATTCCTGAAGAGACTGTCCAGGGGAGATTATCAGAAAACAGGACAGAGAAGAAATGACTTAGTACGTCATTTACAGCAATAGGAATCCACTGCAATAGTAACAAAAACAGCATGGTATTGGCTCCAAAACAGATACGTAGATCGCTGGTACAAAATAGAAGACAGAGACAAACCCACATGAAAATGGTTATCTCATACTAAACAAAGATGCCAAAAACATACATTGGAGAAAAGATGGCCTGTTCAACAAATGGTTCTGGGAAAACTGAAAAATCCATATGTAGCAAGATGAAATTAAACCTCTATATCTCACCCTGCACAAAAATCAACTCAAAGTATATCAAAGATTTAGGCACTAGAACAGAGAGACCCTGCTCCTAATAGAAGAAAAAGTAGGCCTAGATCTTTGTCATGTTGGCTTAGGACCTGACTTCCTTAATAAGACTCCTTAAAGCACAGGAAGTAAAACTAAGAATCAATAAATGGAATGGATTCAAACTAAAGAGCTTCTTCTCAGCAAAGGAAACAACCAATAACAGGGAGAGTCCACAGAATGGGAGAAAATCTTTACCACATGCATCTCAGAGCATTTATCTCCAAGATATATGTATTTTTTAAAAAAAAAAACCTCAAAAAACAAAAGACTTAACACCAAAAAACCCCC